CTGAGTGGAAGTGCATCCCACTCAAATTTTCGCCCTCACTTCACTTGAACGCCATTTAACCGAAGGTCTCAATGGTCTCTCAGTTAAAAAAAAGCGTAATAGCAAGAAGGCAATCGCCAAAAATGAGAGCAAAGGCTATAAGAAAGTGGTCTCCTTAGTAACGCTGGCAGCTCCCGAGTCAGTTATTTCTGGGCACCAGCGAGACCAATAACTAACATGATTGGCTTAGAAAATGCCTAGATTTGAGGTGAAAATATCCTGAATTCTCCGATATTTCCCTCGGAAAACCTTGAAGGTAGAAAGAATGAGAGCTAAGGCCAAGCCTGACCAGGATTGTTTACGACTTGGTAGGCACTAAACAATGAGCTGCATGAAAAACCCACACCACACACCAAAGCTCGATGTTTGATGCTTTCACAGCTGCATTCCTCGATATGACGTTTACGTAAGTGCACGTGGCTGCTCAGCTGCTCAGAGCTAAATCGCTCAACGGGCATAACCCTAATAGATAAAACTTCCGGCTGAACAAGCGACGCCCACAATGAAACCTGGGCAAGAGAACCCACTCAGATCGGAGAAAATTATTCGTACACAGAGCAAACAAGATGATCTCGTGGCAAGGCGCTATAACCACCGGTGAATGACCCAAGCCTCTGGGAAACTTATTTATGAATATGTTTGGTTCCGCGGCCTCTCTGAGCGAATGAAAGGCAGATCTCCTAGCTTTCAAGGTATTGGTTAGAAAATCCACTTAGAGGCACGCGCACAGAATATTCTTGTGGACCCATGATGCATGGTTCGTGGAAAAGTACGACTTGGCAACAATCCAGTCTACGCCCGTCAAGCGCCCCGGTGCCTGGCAGTCAGACAGGGAGCTTTCTTCATGGTCTCTTGAGTGATGTGCTCACTTGATCGAATAGAGCGCCATATTGTCATTTTTGAGACCGGTAGATTCATCGCGGCATGGATCTGTGCCACAGAAAGCGGGGAGTTTGAGGCTATTCTTCTGATGTCTTTCGCGGACAAAGATCGTGGGTGCCTCGAAACAGGTACTGAGTGGTAGCCATCAGGATTCTGGAGGTATATACCAACGCACGTCGCCGAAAGTCCAAGCTATCTTCCAATTTCTCTATTCGAGTGTCCTGCAGCACTGAAAGCTCGAATCCGAGCTTGTCGTCTTCGTAGAGAGGAGGGACTAGAGACCATAAGAATGGATTGCAGATCTGGAGCCAAACTTTGGACTTCCGGTGTCCACATACTTTTGTTATTAAGAAACTTTTTCAAAACAATAAAATAATGTTCACAAAGTGCTCAAAAGTCCCCCCCCCCCAAGTTCAAAAATAGATTTTGGGAAAAACATTCTTCTCCAGCAATACAAAGTTCTTTGAAAGAGAGAGAGAGAGAGAGAGAGAGAGAGAGAGAGAGAGAGAAGAGCAGAGAGAGGAGAGAAAGGAGGAAGAGGGAGAGGTTACTATCGAGAAAGACAGTCGAAAGAATACTCCACCTTGTCTATTATCGTAATAGAACAATGAGTTTAAGATCGAGCAGCAGCCATCTTCACAGTGCAATAATTTACCTTACTAGGGAAGGTCGTCAGGTCGAAGTGGCCATTTGTGATGAGATGTAGCTCGCTAGACGTGATTTGGACGCCTGCATCTCCGAAGACGCTTTGAAATTTGCAGAACGATTCTCTGAACGGAGTTATGGAGCTTTTTCCATCGCGTTTCACCACGCAACAGGTCGTGGGATCGGATCCCTGCTGAGCTTTAACTTTTTTGCTTTCGAGTGCCAAACGTGGGCCAAAAAGTTGGTTGTAGTCGCGGTGACTTTTAGTTCAGCGCTCTCCTTGACTTGCCTGAAAAACAGTTTATGTTCGCTTACTGGCGCGCTTAGTGCCTTATGATCTAGGAGATGTACAGGTGCCCTTGGCGCGCAGTGCAGGCATTTTCGCGCTGAGCGAGTGCTACTCGTATTTATGGGGGCAAACTACGCCTAGGTAGAGGTTTCTAGCCAAATCTGCCATTTTGACCTGACTTCGAAAAGTGAAGCATCCATGGGTTAGTTCAGTTGATGTTCACACCTATTCAGCTGCGGATAACATTCTCCTGCACAAACCTCGTCTTACCCCTTCTTACGCATTCATGTTGTTACTCCTAGTTTTCCTGGTATCTAAAAGCAAATTCCGTCCAAAGACAAGCAATCGACAAGAGACTGGCCCTGGAACTATTGGTGACCATCATTCGATCAACTGCTACCGCACTTTTCAAAGTTAGGTCAAAACCTCACATCTGGCTAGAAACCTGTCCCCAAGGGTAGTTTTGCTCCCTGAACACGAATATGGCACCCATTTGCGTTTGAGTGTTTTCTAGACTTAAAAGAGACATTCCCCACAAAATGCAAAACAAAGCCCCCTCCCAGACACCCGAACCCTTCCTGACGTTTCCGCGAAGCAAGACCATTGTCACTACACCACGCCGTCATCGCAATGGTGCTTCCCGGCCCAGGCCACAGCATCGTTGTGTGAAAACACATAGGGGGGGGGGGGGTCGTACTTTTCCGCTGGGGAGGGGGTCGTATTTGGGGTAAGACAAATTTATTTTGATAGTTGATTTTTTCTTGTGGAAAAAGGGGGTCGTATTCCCCCCCGCTCGACGACTTTTTCGCCGACTATATACTCATCGCTCGTCAGTCGGCGAAAGAGCCGGTCGAGCTGAGGGGGGGGGGTCGTACCAACGGGGAAAAAAAGGGGGGGGTCGTGGCGCGGACCCCATTCGGAGGGGGGGGTCGTACTCACACCGACATTTCGCCTATCCCTATGCTGTACCCTGTTCCCGGCTATTCATGCGAATTGGCCGGCAACCGCGCTCGACTCTGTTTCCTTCATTTTAATTCTAACAAACCTTCATAATTCCGTTCAGAGAATCGTTCTGCAAATTTCGAAGGCAGATTCGAGATCAGCGTCCAAAACCACGTCTAATGAGCTACATCTCCTTTACAAATGGCCACTTCGACCTGACGACCTTCCCTAGTTAGCTTGTGGAACCAACACTGCTTTCTTTGAATTCAGGTTTTAGTATCTTACAAAGAATCCTAGGCCTCCGCCCAGTCATAAAGAGCTCGTCATCAAGGCCGATTCCATCACCAGCCAAGTCTTAGGCCACGTACCTTGCGAGCTCTTTCCACTCAATCGACGCGTAAATTCGCGTATGTACAGTCCTCATCATTGCGGACCGGTGGGGCGTGGCAGTGCGGCTGCATTTGGTGCGGTTTGGCAAAGTCGTTCTGCACCAGTTTTTGAAGCGAACAAGTGCATTGCTGTATAATATCCTTCGTATTACTCGTTTTCTACCACTTTTTGTCGCATACGCGTTGCAACAAAAAAGGCTGAGAACGGCTTCAACAGTGTGCGCACTCCATACTGGCGTTGACACGCCCCACGGTCCGTAATGATGAGGACTAGATATACCATGATTTCACTTTAAATCTTTTTCGACCCAATTCTTCTTTCTTCAATACCAAATTCGTCCTTTTTCAAACTAAACTCCTTGCACCAAATTCGTCCTTTTTCAAACCAAATTCACCCTCACTCTTCATCAAGAACCACACTTATTAGGGCGGGCAACTCATCAACCAGATCACGCCAGACATCACTGCGAGCCCCGCCCCGACGGCCACGCCCACTTGTCAGCGCGGACATAGATTCTCAAATCTTGTTTCATAACTTCTGCTTTTGCTGTTTCCCACAAACACTTTGACTGGAAACCACCGTGCATTCACACATGGCCGACTCGCCCATTCTCTAAAGGGTTTGGCACTCTAGGCTGACCACGCCCACTGGCTTTTCGCGGAATTTCGATGTTTTTCAAAATTTTTGCATTTTAGGTTGCTGCGTGAAGCCCCGCCCTTTGTGAGATGCTCCGCCCACTTTGAATAAGCCCGCCCACTTTTCAAAAATGGTGCAGATCGGCAGTATAGAGACTTGGCTTGCATGTTAGTGTATTGCTGATCATTCGGAATAAACTTTGCCGGATTTTCTTGTTCCGAGTGACGTACGAGACCCTAACATGCAAGCCAAGTCTCTATACTGCCGATCTGCACCATTTTTGAAAAGTGGGCGGGGCTTATTCAAAGTGGGCGGAGCATCTCACAAGAGCGGGCTTCACGCAGCAACCCTAAATTGCAAAAATTTTGAAAAAACATCGAAATTCCGCGAAAAGCCAGTGGGCGTGGTCAGCCTAGAGTGCCAAACCCTTTAGAGAATGGGCGGAGTCGGCCATGTGTGAATGCACGGTGGTTTCCAGTCAAAGGGTTTGTGGGAAACAGCAAAAGCAGAAGTTATGAAACAAGATTTGAGAATCTATGTCCGCGCTGACTGACAATGTGGCGTGGGCCGTCCGGGGCGGGGCTTGCAGTTGATGTCTGGCGTGATCTGGTTGATGAGTTGCCCGCCCTAATAAGTGTGGTTCTTGATGAAGAGTGAGGGTGAATTTGGTTTGAAAAAGGACGAATTTGGTTTGAAAAAGGACGAATTTGGTTTGAAAAAGGGCGAATTTAAAGTGAAAATGGTATATAAATAATCTGAGATTAGCCGCCAAAAAAGTCCACTCGGCGAATCGATAACATATTTTTCTTGGAAGCCTAATTTCCAAAGATCGTCATGGCGCAAGAGGTGAACGCAGCCTTAGCTAATTTCGAAATAATAGAACAAAATCAATCTGGTAATCCGTTCTATCATTTTACGCGAATAATGTACTGGCGGTCAAAAGAAAAGAGCCTTGCTCCGCTGCCATTTACGGGAAGGATCGAAGTGAAGTACAAACTTCAAAAATCTATTTTCATCCTACATTTAGTACATTTATTTACAGAGGTTAAACAACGCCATTAAAACAACATGAAACAGTATAAAACTCTAAACAAAACAATGAAACCTTCATAAATGCACATTAAACATGCACCGGGCTTCAAACACCGTTATGTAGAGGTGATAGAGGTGACCCATTTCATCCATCATCAGAGTCGGATTCTTCAGAGAGCTGCAAATCTTGGGGAGGGTTTTTATCTGCTGTCTTTCTAGCGCGTTTCCTCACTGGTCGAGTTTTCCTTTTCGGGACTTTTTTCTCGCATGGTATTGATGAAACGGAACAAAGCTTTGATGATGATCCTGAAAAAAAGAAAAGTTCAGGTGCAAAACAAAGCGATAGCTCTCAGAGAATTTACAGTCACGCCCTGCATTCAACTGATATTCAGTACGCGTTTCGGTAGTCTCTGCATGGAAGATGTATTACTAAAACGCGTGAAGAAGGCGTAACCCGCTCGCAACAAAGCCGCGGCTCCGCCCACTGGCCACGCCCAACTTCATTTTTAACTGCAGCCTGATTGCGCGGTTGTTCCGCTACTAAGTGTCTCCATTTCGAATGTGAGAGTGAGATTATAAGGAGAAAGGGCTGGCACCAACAACTGAGAACTCGTTTGACTACGCCTTTTCTTCGCCTTATGCACGTAACAAAGAAGAAACGGGTTCGCATATGGGTAAGGCACTGATGACAATACTGTTAGCACGATTTGAATTACCTGTTCGTTTCGCCAGGTTAGCAAGAGCAGTTTCGACCCTCTTGGTTAACGCTGTTTTCTGCTCAGCCGGAGACTGTTGCAGTTTGTGCGCGAATGAGGTGATGTGCCGCTGATACGATGTCGCTCCAGTAATGAACTCATTCCACCGTTGTAATGGAATTAACGTTTGCTGAAAAACATCTAAAATACTGCTGCCCACGATAAAAAAGTGGGGATGTAACCAAAAAAGCTAAAAAAACACCTTATCACACTTTTCATCATCCCATCCAAGCTTGGAATAGAGTAGAATTCGTACTCGTTCAATATCGACCTTTTTCCAGCGAAATTTCTCGCGAGATTTGTCCACATTTGGCCGAAAATAGGCTGCGACGATTTCTGCATTGACGATCTGAATAGCTGTCACCATGAGTGTGGCCCCTTCCTTTACAGAGCATCACCCCGAAAATACGGAAACTGACCGATTTGATTCTATCCATGTCGTTGTTTTTCTTGATAGCGGCGCGAAGTTTACGTCGTAGAGCTATGGGTTCTGGTGGATCCTCATTCGGATCAAATGTAGCCATCCAATTGTCAACGTTTCTCAGGGTCAACATCGTCTGAATAACATTTTGGCTGTAAAAACCTTTTTTCCGCACTAGTAACTGAGGATGATTTACCTCCTTCTCTGACTGGTCTACTTCAGTGGATCTTGTCACTGCGAATTCGGATAAAAGTTCTACCGCATTCACTATTCCAATTCCTGCCAAACCGGGTGAATAGTCACCTCCAGAAAGAACAGCTATTCCGACGAATTCTGCTTGCGAGAGACCTGGATGAATACCACAATATGGTGACGCTATGCATAAACTAACAGTATTTATGAAGAGTGATACCCAGTGATTGACGGACAACTCGTGAATCGTAATGCTGGACATTTTTGTTCTTTGAAAAAAGATGACGATAAACGTTCCGCACTCCAAACGCCCAAACGTCGCTGTCGTCCGAGATCACACCCTGTAAACGGTGGAAACCGTAAGTGGAACAAGTTCTCCACTCTAGGACCGAATAACCATTTCATGGTGCCCACGTAATGCATGAGCTTTTCACGGTTTTAGTTAATCACTACCACTTGCACAGAGACATACACGTAGGGAATGAAGTACGTACATACACTCCTTATCCCTAGACGAAGTAGGCGTGGCATTCCAGCATGGCATAGGATGGGTTACTCGTGGGATATTTCAATTTGAGACAACTGTCATCTTGTTCTGTGTTGGCCAAAAGCATGATCTCAATTGCCCCAAAATGAAAACATCTCACGAAAAGCTCAGCTGCCACCACGTTCAGTTCAAGCACGCAGCCACGCCTACCGCATCTCAGGGATTTCCAGTGTACTTCACCGCAAAGTCAACAGGTGGGCCAACTAGACCATGCCAAACACCACGGCATTCCGCACCTCCCCCCTGTTCACAACGTATGCTGATTTGGCGCAGCGCAAGCCCTTTCTCCACCAGTTGTTGATGAGGGCAAGCGACCACAACTGACGCACCCCCCCCCCCACCCCGCAACTCCCCTGACACGCTCAGCATTCGCAGTGAATAAGACTATAGATAGGTAGATCGGTTCAAAAAAAACACAAGTGGGTGACATACCTGTACCAAACCCAATCTCTCTAACTCCACGCACTGAGCTTCTGCTTCTCCCGGCGCTTCTATCCATGGGAAGCCGCAAGCGGTTAGGAAGTCCTAAAATAAGGAAGAGCACCTACAGAATGACAGCGAAAGGAATCCATTCAATAATGATCTAATAGTA